TAGTGTAAAAAGATTTAAGCCTAAATCAACTTCTAAGTTATCTAAACAATTCCTACATTGAGATAGGTCAAGGGAATCCACAATTTTGGGAGGGTCCTAATCTCAACACCTAAAACAGAACCTAATGTTGTTCTAAAATTATAATAAAAATGCTAGGGGAACATGAATATCTACCCTAAAACATACTAAAAAATAAAAGCCAAACTCATCACCAATTGGAAGACCAAAATTCAGCAAAACAGATGGTCAAATATGCAAAATTAAAAGAATTAAACAAAATAAGAAAAATCAAATTAAATTGAAAAAATCATGAAAATGAATTTTATTGATTTCATAAAATCACAAATTCTTTCTAGATCATGGAGATATTTTTAAAATAATTTTTGGATCAAGAATGAATTTATTACGATTTTTTGAATCAATAAAGCATTTAAAATAAAACAAAATGAATAAAAGAAATAATAAAACTCAGAATAAAACACAGCCACAAGATGAGGAGACCAGTCAGCTGATCCAATGCACTAGAGCTTGCCAGCGCATTAAGTGAAACGCCTGCGTTTTGATCTCAGAATTTCCAAACCAACTTTAAGTCACAAGCGTTGGATCTTCAGGTCAGTCAATGGTCCAACCTAGATCTAAGGGTTCAGACATCATCTTCTTCGCATTTCCAGTTCGCCTGAGTGAGATTGAGTGTGGTGGTTGGTGGTGGCCGGAGAAGACTCCGGTCATCTTCTCCGGCGAGGGTCCAGGTTTAGGCAACCAAAAATAACAATCTCTACACCAATTCCACTCAGTTTTCAACGTAGATTCCAAATCTTTAGTCAAAATGATCTAACTCTCAATAGGTAAGCAAACACGAAGCAATGTTCAGAGATGTCATCCAAATCAACTCTCACCAAATGCTAAATTAAATACATAGAAATCCTCCTCATGTTGCACTGATCATCCTGATCTAAACAACTTGCTACAAAACCTCATGAAACAAGAGATTCAAGTCCAAACAAATCTGCTATGTCATCTTCAAACATCACCAATTGAGTCCAAATCAAGCCTAAAACGATCTATGTCATGTCTAGATCCTAACCACAAGTTCAAAACTATCTAACTCATGCTAAATCATGCTGAATTTTGAGAGATGCTAACCTGGTATAGGTCTTGAAATAGATGCAGTTAGAACTCGTGGCTTGCTTCAAAAAGCTCTAGAAACTTTCAATGATCCACAAGGAAGAGATTGCACACCTTAATTTGGCTTGAATTGACTCCAAACTTAACATTCGATTTGCAGTTGCAGTTGTGAAATTTTTCTTACTCTTTCTTGCTCTGGTGCGAAATAATGCTCAACCTTGATCTGAACTTGCTCTAATGAATATATAGAAGAGTTTCATGGGCTTTTGGATCCACATTGAAGCCCAAAACAGTGCATTGCAATTTCTGGTTTTCTCATCCAAATTCACTATGACAGTCGTGTATTGAAAGCTTTGCATTGGTTATAGAAGGTTCCCACACCTTGCACATGTCATTTAGAATGAGTTTGAATGGAGAGATTGGTCTGAATTGCCTTGTGCATTGATTTTGCAATGTTACTTACAAGTGAAGCAACCACATGGCAACTTCCAAAACTTGAACTGAACTCAAAATTCTGTTAAAACCAAAGTGTTTGAAATGTGATTTCCAATTAGAAAGTGTACCCACTTGCTTGGTTTGAGGCATCTAGCACAAAATCACATTTTTCCCTCCTTTCCATATTTGAATTTCCTTCATTTTCAAGCCATTTCAAGTGACTTTTTGATATGAGCCAAACCAAACTCTCATTACCACTTGGTTGCATTCAAAACATCATTTTAAGCAATTTCTATGTTGAAAAAATTTCCATTTGAAGCTTGCAAGTTGGAGATATGGACCTATGATTTAAAATGACCTATAATCTCACTTTCCCAAAATACCCCTGACTTGTAAACCTCATAACTTGAGTTCTACAAATCATATGGAGGACTTCTAGTACAATTTAGAAAGCTAAGATCACGAGGAACAACTTTCATGTTGACCAAAAGTTCAGGTGAAACCTCCTTCTAGGTCAAAAATAGCCTTGAAGTCAGATGATTTTCACAAAAATATTTCAGAAGCATCTGAGAACCTGTAACTTGTCTGGGCCATAACTTGAGTTCTATAAATCCAATGGGGGACTTCTAGTACTCAAATTAAAGGTATTGAGATGCCCTACAAGTTTCATGTTGGCCAAAGATCCATTTAAAACTTGTATCTTGACTTATGTGGCCTTGAAGTTAGGCACTAAATAGGGTAATTTGCATTGAAACCCTAATTTAGCAACTTCCCACATTCTTGATTCTTCTTGATTTGATCTTGGCACAACACCACAAATTCTTATCACATCATTCCATGAACTCCATGACCTCAAAGTAGGCTTGAATGCTTTTCAATTGCATAATTGACCTAGGGTTGATCCAGATGAAACCCTAATTGTCTGCATTTCAACTATGGCTCTTGCATCTGACACAATGACTTGTTTTAGCTCCAACATGGCTCTCTAGGCACTCCATGAGCTCTATACACATCTCATATTCACACCTCATACTTCACATCCCATTGATGGTCCTCAGCTGATCAAGACCTCCCACCACCTCCTGATGACCTGGATGACTTCTCAAGTTTGGATAAGATTTCTTGCTAGGCTTCTCTTGAAAATAATCACACTTGATCCCCTGTTGGATGAATGATATGCCATGATATGCAAATGATAGAATTATGCAAATGATAATGCAATGAAACATAAACCAGGTAAAAGATGTTGAGCAAATTTTGGGGTGCAACAGGCGTAGGGGTGTTAATACATTCCCCTTGCATAATCAACTCCCGAATCCGATTTGGTTGCGACGACCATATCTTAGTCGTTCTCTTAGGAGTTTTATCAATATTTTCTCTTTTCCTCTTTTGGGAATAAATAAAGTTCGGTGGCGACTCTGTTCAGTTCATCCTGCGGGGTGCGGTTGCGGCTTGCGTGCATTGTGTTTTCTTTTTTCGAGGTGCGACAATATGCACATCCATAAACCATTTAGGATAAAATTTGGAGATGCATCTCCGAAAAAGTTCGTGTTTTTAACAATGGCAAAAAATACAATCTTGCCCTAACAACCCAAAATGCAACTAAATCATCGTGTATGTCTCTAATAACTACCTATTTCAAATGTGACTACTACTTAATGCATTTAAAAATATCTATTGTACCTAATGCATTACTAAATAAATAAAGTTAAATAAGAAAGTTACTCAAAAAGTGTTGATGAGGATGAAAAATGTTGGATGTAATAGGAAGTGAGTTTCGAAAGGTACTATTGAAGTAGAGGCATTGTTGTTCCTTAAAAAATGACTGAAAGAAAGTTGCTCACGAGCTCCAACGGGGTTTTGTAAAAGTTTTTAAAAAATGAAGAAAGAGAAAAGGGTGTGTCTGCGCGCGTTATACATAAATTTAACGCCTTCAGGGATGCATCTCTGAAAACACATATGAATTTGAAATCAAGGGTTAATCCGGAGATGTGTCTGCAGACAAATTCTAAAACACATAAGAAGATGCATCTCCGAATTAAATTTTAACAAAGTGAAAAGTCTAATCACTTGCGCTTATTTTGTGTGATAACAGTGCGCCCGAATTTGAGAGAACCAATAGAAATGAGAAAATAAATTTCCATAAGAAATATCAAGATTATTCGAGTGCCCAAACCAATCATCAATATTCATCAAATCATCAATCTCAATTTCATTCTAGATTAAAGAAAAAATATGGGGAGAAAAAATAATATGACCTACTTTAATAGAAAAAATAAACAAGGGCAGAGATTAAATAATAACTACAAATAAAAGAATAGAACCCTTGAAATTTTGCTCATAGTCCATTGATTTTCATAATAGCTCCTTACCAACTCCAAAATTTAGATTCAACATTGATACACCTCAATCCAACAATATACTTTTTTAAAATTCAAAACTGTAACTGTTTTCATACTTAAATCAGACAATACAACCTCAATCTAATGAGATATTTTCTCTAAAGGTTAAAGTTGACCTAAATCTAACTGCTTTCATACTTAAAACAGACAATACAACCTCAATCTAATGAGATATTTTCTCTAAAGGTTAAAGTTGACCTAAATCAGACAATACAACCTCAATCCAATGAGATATTTTCTCTAAAGGTTAAAGTTGTGACTGTTTTTACACTCATAACAGACAATATCTCATAACTTCAGTGACGCAGACTTAAGATCACAATATCTCGTAACTTCATAACTTCAGTGACACAGACTTAAGTTCAGAGAAACATTGATGCTAGAAGGAGGACTCAAGCCTAAGTGCTTACACTCCACTCAGCCTCAACAAGGAGCAACAGATTTAGACAAGTCAAAATATTATGTCATTGCTTAAAAATCGAGATTATGGATAATTTATATATATCACTTATACATCTCAACCTAACTCGGCACCTTTTTCAAATGACAAAACGGTTACCTCATATCGGCAATGACATTGAGGTCGACGGGAAGAGGCTCTTTTACTTCCACAATTGTTTTATCTACCCTTAAGTTAAACCAAAGATGGCCAAATAATAACGTTAATATTCCTAGAACTTAGTCCATACCACAATCTTAACCTTTTTGTTCAATACACGCTTAAGTATCTTCCCATGTTTATATCGCGAATCATTTGAGTGGTGCTGGTAATGGTAACAGTTATACTACACCTGTCTTCCATTACCATGAAAATAAATTATGCCAATCAATTCCTTATTATTTGTTCCACTACTAGCTGTTTCAGACAAACTGAACGGATTTACAGGCAAACACACACACACAAACTGTTCCGCTAAAGCCTACATCAGAAGAAAACCAAGGAACAAATATAAAGGATAAACACAGAAGCTGTGAAATTACAAGAGACCGGGCTAAATAATTTATATGCTACAACTGCGTGTTTTCTGAATGATGAACTCAGCAAGGCTTAATTTCAAAACCTATGCTCAGAAGAGTTCGAGCTGACTCTATTGCTTTCTCGCCGCCAAGCTCCATGGCTTCCCCAGTTAGTTCTCCGTCCGTGTCCACTGACCATTGAGTAGAAATTTTCTGGTTTTGCAGTGGCGAGCCTGGTTTAATCAACTGCAAATTATTCATGGAGGCAGGTGCTGCAGCAGCCACGAGAGGAGCACTTGGTGGGCCGTGTCGTTTCTTTGGCACAGGAGTGTCGTGATCATGTACACCCTTGTAAGTTATGATGACAGCATCTGAGTTGTCTACAGCTGTCTCGATGTGCTTCCGGACAGGACATCCGGCAGAAGTGCATCTGTAGTAGTTTCTGAAATAAAGCAGTAGATAGGAAGAAAAGGAAGAATTTTTAATTTCAGTGGAAAATTAAAGAAAACTAAAAAAGGAAACGCAACAGCCCCTAAAAAGAAACAAGTGGTCTTTAATATCATTCACAGAGACAGTTAGAAATAGAAAAATCAGTTTAGCAAATAATATTTATTTGGATGCATTGTCTTGAAGATACAGTTCTATTTTCATGGATACATGATGCTACCATGATGGATGGAAACATTTCGCAGAACAAGAGATGGAAAGAAACATGTTTCGGTCAGTGACAGATCTTTTGTGGAACAGGTGGAAGCCATGGCTCCCCCAAGAAACTATTCAAGCTCTGCCACTCACTAGTATCAGTTTAACACAATATTTACCAACATACCTAACCCACAGGCTATAGTAATTTGTCCAAACTTTTCATTTATTAATTTTACACACTAAGTCCATATGTGTTTAAGTTTAACTTTAAAAAACAGTTTTTTTAGCTAAAAGCTCTCTTAGCAACATTTCTATTTTAGACACATTCTAAAGCATACAATAAGCCAGTACAAACATACACAGAGAACAAGTGCCTTCAAAAAATTAATAAATGTCTACGAATTTACATAAAGTTTAAAAGATATTTGAGATTCATATCAAAAACAAATAAAAAAAGGTGAACACTCCGGTGCCCCAGAGTTTGGTTGGGTATGTAGTACTATGTACCCGTTATCCAATGTCATGTCACTTTTTATAATAATTTATTTTAAAATAAATTAAAGTTTTAAATAGATATAGCCTAAGAGTACCGGTATCCAACTAAAACTCATGGATACCAAAGAATTTACCATAAAAAATAATAATAAGGCGTCCTTGGCTTGTGGATAAAGGCATTGTACCTGGGATGTGGGTTACCCTTCACCATTTTCTGCCCATACTTGCGCCATCTGTATCCATCACCTGATATCCCCACATCTCCGGCTGCATGTACAACAAACTTGGATTTCTTTTCAGGTTTTACAGGAGAATCTCGTTGAATTAAGTCGCCTTTCTCCTTTCTGGTTATCAAATTAAATAAAAGAACATAAATAAATCACCATAACCTGTCATTACTAGAGTAAATGGACTTATTGTCTAAGCTTTATCGATAAATAATATGATTTCATACACGGACTTGCCTTCGTTTTGGCTCTGGCTCGTCTAGATGTTCCTCCTTCACAATAACTTTACCATTACCATTGATATTAGACGAGTTTTGTTCTTTCTTGACAGCACTGCAAGGTGCTTCTTCTTGAGCTTTAGAAGATGTGGACGGATCAGAATCTTTCAGAACATTGACAGACTTCACTAAAAGACTGTTCTCTGCAGTAGGTTCTTTGGGAGATGCAAACTTACTTTCCCTAAGGAAATTAGTCTTCCGCGGAGGATCATGACTGTGCGCACTTTTATAAACAGTCTCTATCACATGACCTGAATGATCCCAGCATTCAATCTTCTTAGCGCAACAGTTTGATTGAGTACACCTGTAATAGCTCCGAGAACCTGTAGTAGGACTCTTAACTTGTTTCTGACCGTACTTCCGCCAGTTGTATCCATCAGATGCCGATGTCCTCGGAACAGAAACTGAAGATAAGGCTTTACCACCAGAATATTTTTTTTTGTCTACCACTCGTACAGGTGCGTTACTAAAGCTATGAACAGGTGATAGTTCAGGCAGTGGAATTGAACACACAGTCACTTGAAGCTGATTTTCAGTCGGAGTTGTAGGTGTCGGGGCTGCTTCATTTGCAGTAATTTCCTTTTCAGGAGGTCCAACTGTTTCCTGAGCATTAAACAGCCTAGTTTAATACTAAAGAAATAAAACACCTCGGGATGCAACTTTCTGATGCTTAAGTTGAATGCAAAAATATTGCTTTCTCTTAAGAGTTGTTCATTCAAGAAAAGCAATCAAATATATTACTACGAAGCCTAATTTACTAGACGTGTAATTGTGTAATTTCGTTCCTTTTTACGAGATTGCTAAATCAGTGTACTAACTACCAAGTCGCGCAAGTTCATGATGAATGGAAACAGGAGTGCTAAACCCTAGCTAAAATGAACTATTGTCAGAATGGCATTTAGCAATCATTTTCAATCCAGATTTTCCAAATTTATAATCTTTAAAACAGAATTAACACTAGCATTTATATATTTATATGCCTCACCTCAGATCCAGAACAAAAAAGAGTAATTAACTATCAAGCAAATTAAGGAACAAAATTCAATTACTTCAACAACCAAAAACCTCGACGATCACACAAAAGCGAGATTCAAACATCTATCAATTAAACAAAATTTCTTTCTATAAATGATCTCTAACCTGATTTTCAGCTTTAACACACGAAATCAGCGAATTAGGTTTCCCCGGTAAATCTGCGTCTATGACATCAATAAAGTAATTCACTATTCATAATTAGAAAGAAAAAATATATAATCAGAGAGAGTCGTTAAAATTGAGGCGCACCGAAACTCTGCTTCTGCGAAATCGAAGATGGAGGAACAATTAGGGTTTCTGAATTTCGCTCTATCGAGTGTTTAATAGAATTAGCTGAATAGTTTTGTTTCGACTCGGTGACACATGGTGATTCACCGACTTGTTCTTTTTCGTGTTGGTTTTTTTCATCGTTAGTTTCAGAGTTATTTTCAAGCTGAGTGGGTCCCACTGGGAGAGGTTCGGAGACGCGGTGCTCGGCCATGGAAGAAACGCCGAGGGAGAAAGAAAAGGTTTTAGAAGATTCTTTATAGTTTGTTAGAAAAATGAAACGAGTTAAGGGTGTGTTGAAACGGTGTTGTTGTGAGTGTGTTAGAGTTTGACTAGTGTTGACTCACTCACTCACTACTCAGGTGTTTCTCGTTCGTTCTTGTTAGCTTTTGTTATGACTTATGATGCTGTTTCTCGTACCAGGTACTTACTAACAGCCACCGTCCATTGCTCCGTTAGTGATTCGCGGTTATGTTAACGGCGTTAGTTCTATAATGTTACTGCTGCTTTGAATGACTGAGTAATACTGTGCTGTTTTCTTTTTTCTTGTTAGCTTTTAGAATCCGACGTGGATAACTCTCTACCATGCTTCTTTCTTTCTTCTTTTTCTCTCAGAGAGGCAAATGTTCTTGTTTATTTTACTAAATAGTATTTTTTTTTATCATTAAATTTAAAAAACAATTTATTACACCCTAAATATTTATGATGTACTATATGAATTTTCACATATGTTTTTTTGATTTTGGAGATATATTTTCGAATGCACATATTTCTGACATATTTTGGAGATACATTATCGAAATCATTTTAAACATTCAAAACATGTCACTTAGACATCATTTACATTTGAATTGTTCCGGAGATGCATATTCGATAATTTTTCAAAAATATATCTCTGAAGTGTATCAAAACATGTGTTTTTTACTATAAATTGTGTATTTGTTTTCAAATGAAATATAACACGCAATCCAAAAATAAAATAGACGTACAAAATAATAAGAAACTAATATTTGATGAAGTATAACAATATATGTAGAAAATATTGTACAATCGAGATCTAAAACATAATAAAACGGTAAAAATAAAGTAGATAGTATAATAATACAACAAAATAATAATATATTACTATTGTGTGTTTCTGACAACATCTCTTCTACCTCTTCTGCCTGCTCTGCCTCCTCGACCATCATTTCTTTCGTCCTCCGGTGATGTCTCCAGTACAACAGTGCTCTTGTGCCTCCACCACCATGACATTCAGGACTCGCCTGACAGCCAACCCCTCAAGGAAGATACCATCGTCAATGCTTACCCGCATAATCTCCATTATGCGACGACACTAAGGCAATGCATCACCAGTATGATCTAACTGAGCATGTTCCTCCTCTAGTATCTCTTGATAAGCTGATCTCGATAGATCTCTTAGAGATGTCAGCGTCATGTACGGATGTGACACCCTAAAAAGCCTCCTGATGTACCCATCAACGTAGCTCTAATTGTTTGATGCTATGGTAGCCTGTGTCTTCTCCGGTACAAGATGACTCTCATAATCAGCAAAAAATCTCATTTATCTGTCTACAAGACAAGGCATGAGTAACAGAGGCAGTAGGGTGTCTAGGGATGGTCTATGTGTACCCGAATTGTCGTATGACGTGCTCGGGCAGATGAGGAACAGTGATACACAATCTACATGCCAACCATCCGGAGTATAGCGTTATCTCGTCAAATGGCCGCGTCTAAATGTGATCCACGTAGCTGTTGAAGTGCATGTCCTCAGCAACCAAACAATCAAGATAAACTCTAAAAGAGTCGACCGACAGGTTCCCTCTGAGCGGGATAAAAGCGCAGGCACGCGGCATATCCTCAGTTTACTCATCCACACTCGCCCAACCAGCGATATACGGGAAGTGCTAAAGGATCCAAGCCTGAAATAAAAATTAAAAAAAGTATTCAAGGATCAAGAATCATCAGTAATGGTTTCGCAGTATGAAATGAAATTGACAAAAAAAACATTCAAGGATCAAGAATTATTACCACCAGTAGTGTCACACTGCCTATGACCTACCTCGTCTTTCATTGACATCCATCTCTCAACTTTGAATAAAGATAGGCCAGGAAAACCACCCCCTTGTTGTACTCATGGATCCGTTGTAGATCGAAGAAGTACTAGAGGTATGTAACGTCAGTATAAATGGCACCCATGTTCACAAAAATGCAAGTGCCAACAAAAAAAAAAAGAAAATATGCCTTCAGAGCATGAGCCCTGTGCACCGCCAGCTGCTCAGCATCACCATAGCCTCATGTGCAACAAGGATCTCATCATGATATATCTTCTTCAGGAACTCAAATCTAGCATGAGCACCTCTGGTCCTATCCACATTCTTAATCACCTTCCCTAGATCAAGATCATCCCCCAGATGCTCTATCATTATCTTGACTACCTCGTCTTTGGTCATCCTCTCATGATCAAGGAATCTCCCTGTGATCGAAAGATGTAATAAACATGAGACATCGTCCAATGTGATAGACATCTCACCATGAAGAAGATGAAAGAATAAGGTCTCAAAATGCCATCTTTCCACAAATGCATTAAGCATCTCGTGGTTAACCAGGTTGTACCCGGTCATGCATATGTCCTTCGGGCCAGATAATTATAGAACCAACTGAAATCGATCGTCCTCTTGCTGAGGCAATGCAACAATCTTCCTCCCATGGTTAAGAAAGAAACTTTTGGGGATCACGCACATGAAATTTTCCAGAAATAATCAATGCCAGTAATAATCAATGTCAGAAATAATCAATGTCTACAATTAAAACTAAGTATAAAATAAATAAATAAAATCCAACTAATCCTACCTCTCTGTCCCAAATATGTATGGCAATATGGTCTGGATACAGAGGAAGTAAGGACAAATCATATGGACCTCCTCCAAAATCCTCTGGCTCGGCATCTGCAACAACCTCACCCTCAAGAGGTGGCACTAGATTAACAGGATCATTAGCGGGAGGTGGCACTAGTGAATCCTAACACATGCGAGGGGATTAGGGAAGTGACGCATCAGATGGTGAATCTCATCTTCTACGGGAAGAAGAAGAAAGTGGAGTGGCCTGAGGTGAAACATGATCCCCAAAAGTAGACGGTGCCCAGAAGTGGACGCCTCTGCTTGACCAGAGGTACCTGCTGCCTCTAGAACCTGTTGGTTTCGCTCCCGCCGAACGGATGCATGTTGGGCAACCCTGCCATGTTTGATTTTGTCGACTTTGTCAGCCATTATACCTATAAGTTAAAGTAAGGCATATCATTAGTGCACATAAACAAAACACGCAAACAAGAAAATAAATAAAAAAATAGACAGCTGGAAATTCCAGAGATGCATCTCTGAAATCACCATAAAACAATAATGTTGAACAATTCCAGAAATGCATCTCCAGAAACACCATAAACAATAAATCTGAAGAGTTTTGGAGATGTATCTTTGGAAATTGCCAAAGTATATGAAAAATTGAACTATTTTGGAGATGTATCTCTGGAATGTTTTGCAACTCAGAGGTCGCGACAATGGCAAAATGTGCCTCTCGCAAGTTGAAAAAACATGATTTGATCACCATTTTGAGCTAACAAACAAGTCATACAATAAGTATAAACTATGTTACACGTGATTTATACACATTTCTAACCCTAATCATTGATTTATGCACATTTACACTAAAACTCGAATATTTACCAAAAAGTCGAAAAACTTACTTGAAATTTATGGTTTTGATGTTGTTGAATAATGTTATAGATGATGCTTGATTTTATTTGAGTTCCTTTGAGCCTTGCTTGATAAAAATTGATTTGGTGAAGTTGAGGTGTATTGAGAAGTAGAAAAGTGTATTGAAGAAAAGTGTGAAATGAGGAAGAAGAAGAGTTTGGTGTGACTTGTGCTCCAAAATGTTTCAGAGATGTATCTCAGGAATATTTCAACATTCACTGAACTTTGGGTGCATCCAAATATATACCTTCCCCTTGCATAATTGACTCCTGAACTCGAATTTAGTTACGACGACTATTTTCTTTTTATTTTAAGGGTTTTATCGATATTTTCTCTTTCCTTTTGGAATAAACAAACTTCGGTGGCGACTCGGTTATTATTTCGATCATGCAAGCACCTATGGAATAACTATAAAGAAAATTGAGACAACTTGGGTCTTGGTTGTTTGGGCCTTCTGGTCGGTCCAGAATACTCCTAAAACATAACATGTTTTGGCGAGTTCCCTTTTTATTAAAAGTCTTATGGACATGAATGTAAAGTTTGATATGACCACAAGAAAGAAAGCATTTGTTGGTTGTTTGCAAGAAGCATATGCTCAAAATTTTCCCATTGTTATCCCTATTGATTGTCTAGGCCAACATATGTCCCTGATATAGTATTGTATTATCTTTAAATATCGACTTATAATTCCATTACTTCCTATTTATGAGGTTTGCCCTATTTACCGCAAGGTATACATTTGGGGAACATTCCATTCATTGTAAGGAACTTACATGATTCAAATACTCACTTGACTTTATTAGGGATGTCTTATTTAACATATTTCAACGTGTCAGGGTATTTGTGAAGAAAAAGACGCCTATGAATTTCTCAATTGACTCACAAGAGGGGAGATTGACACTTAGGTCGACAGATGTTTTGTTGTACGATTGGGCAGGAGAGAAACATGCATGTGTAGACTTGACTGGGGTTTCCCCACTGGTGGGAATGAAGAATAGGGGCTTTACTTCGGGACAGGTAGCTCTGAAATCCGCTTCAAGTGAAATGGCCAAGCATGAGAAAGTTGTTTCAACAATCAACATGTTTTCATACCATTTGCCTATGACAATTTTGGCTTTCTAGCATTAGAAACAATGGATATTTTACAAAGAGTGGAAAGGCTCATACATAAAAATATTGTATCTTATAGGACAATGAATGTAGTTTTTAAGAGGATTAATTTTTCCATCTAAAAAAGGACTATGGTGCAACTTTTTGTTTATTTGCTTGTTATTTCTCTATAATATTTATTTTATTAAATGTTAAGAACATTTCTTAAAAGTGTGAACATTGAGAAATAAGGTTAGCTCAGCTATCATTATTTTTTTTTAAAATTAATGTAGATTGTTCATTCATCTTCTTCATATATTTGTTTATTCATTTGTTCATTTTCATCTATTTTTATGTGTGTTATTGTGTCGCG